TTCCTTACGAATGATTTCAGATCGGTCAAACATCCTTGGTGGATTACTCATGGATTATTCTATACAAATGATTTCAGCTCGATCAAAGAGTTTTGGTGGATTACTCGTGATTTCTTACATACAAATGAACTCAAATCAGTCAAACATTCTTGATGGATTACTTATGATTTGTTGTATACAAATGAACTCAAATCAGTCAAACATTATTGGTAGATTACTAATAGTTTTTACATAAAATGACCATTACTCACGACTTCTTACATACAAGTGATCAAATCTGCTAATGTCAAAAGTTAGCACTCTCAAATAGGTCAAACATTCATTATGATTTTTCTTTAGTCTCTTGAGCACATGCCAATTACGATCTTGCTTGCTCACAATTATTTAATGGTTGTCAACCGTCTATCACTCTTATGTAGTCACCTAACTAGAGCATGCGTTAATGTTGTTGCTTACTATTAATATTGCTGAAGATTTAAATCTAGTATGTTGGATGATGGTGGGCCATAGCTTCCATTGAAGACTACTATTGTCATCATCAGAACACTATCACCTGACCAATAGCGGGCCATAACCGCTTCAATATTTAGATTGATAGCGTCTAGTTGTTGTCGTTATTGTGGTACATCGTCGTCATCAGCGAATCATTATTTCCCGGCTATTGTTATGTCGGATCACCGATACCCGACAATCGCCACTGTTGTGGTACATTGCTGTTGTTGTCAGATCATCATCTCCATGTCGCCATTACCATCTCCCTGACAATTTTCTTCACTTCATCACCATCGCTAACTACGGTCACCCGATCGACACCACTGTTATTATTGAATCACCGTTGCTCGACCATTGTTGTCGTCACAGTACATTATGGTCGAACCATCATTGTTCGGTCAATGGCGCTGCTTCTATTATTGTTGCCCACTATTGGACTACAACCATTATAATTGAACCATTGTTGTCGGGCGACCATTGTGTTGGAGCAGTATTATCAAGTCACCACGGTGCTAGACCATCTTCGTTGGGCCACCATTGCACTTGCAGTGCACTGTTATAGCCGCTAGATCACTGTCAAATAGCTAGCATCATCATCGTCACAATACATCGCCATTGGTGAACTATAATCATCTAACTAAGTATGTTGTTACCGCCAATACCATTGTTGTTAGATTACCATTTTTGGCTATTGCTATCGCTTTCATCACTTGAATGACGTCGTTGGACCACATCCAAATCACTGGCACCGTGCCGCCACTATGCTAGACCACTATCATAGGGTTGTTGCTATATTGGAACACTATTTTCAGGTCCCCATAGTTCTAGACCATTATCGCAGGATCGCCATTGATACTGAAACGCCATCATGCAGTTATTGCCATTCCCGGATCACCGTCAACATCACTTGAAAAGAGCAGGCAACCATCGCTTGTAGGGAGTAGAGAGCAATTCCTTGAATTTGTGTTGGAGCAACAACATGAATTTAGGAATGCAACAACTTGAGTGAAAAAAGGCAATAATAGATCGGAGAAGACTTCAATCTATGAACTAGTGTGACTTCTCTCCCTCTTAGAGCGAATATTTATTTGCAAAATTTGAAAGAAGACAATAAAATTCAAAATTTTGGGGTTTCGCTATGCAAACTAATCCGCAACGCGCACATGCATGCACGAGCGCACTCAAGTACATGCAAGTGTGCAACTCCGCACGCACAACGAAGTGTGGAAGCTAGTCTGCCCCACATCGCGCACTTTTGCCCACATCCACCCCACAAGCGCATCTCCCACAATCACATTGACTAGGTTTGCGCACACTTTCCATTGTTGTGCCCGACTCGTGCTAGTGCACCGCTTTGCCCTGCGCGCGCTGCCATAGGTGTACTAGCCCATGTACTTGCCACATGTATTCCATAGTTGTCCTATGCTCGTGCCCCTATCACCCTTGCACACGCCGTTTCATTTCTATTTGCATTCATACTCGTTTATGGGCCCCACTACATTTTTAGGTACATCATTGTACTCATTTGCTTGTGTGGACATACATAGGCACCTATGCATACTTGCCTACACTCCCATACGTGTAGAAAAACCTCTTATCGCTTAACCATTGCTATTTGACTATCACCATCGTTGTTGTTAGACCACTGCTGTATGGCTGCCTCCACTATTGGTCCGCCACTACCCGACCACCACCGACATTACAGCCAGGCCATCTTCTTCTGGCGGCTGCTACCGCTAGACTACATTTGCTCGACTAGCAACATCACCGTTGTTGGACCAATATCGTTTGCCCGTCACAGCAGCTGAACTACTGTTTCCCAACCACCAACTTTTTCTTCGTCGTACCACTATCGCCTAGATCACTGCTTCCCGACCAACATTGTCATGTCCGTACCACAACTGTCCGACCTCCTCTGAATCACTACCACTTGACCGCCATTGCCAACAATAGTGACGACTACCATATAGTCAAAACTTTATGAAGACCCATGACAACTCAAATCTCCTCAAAGTACGAAACTTAGGAACTTCTGAAATTATATTTTCAGTACTAGTTACATATTTTTGAACAACACAAGCCACATTGCCCGAATATAAAGGGCAATTGATTTGTCATCAACAAATTTTTACTAAGCACAAATCTCAATGCATTTTTTATAAGGCATCTTCCAAATTCAAATTCAAGATCATCGAACATCGATTTTGGCAATTTTATAATTACACTAACCTTCTCGACAAAACTAACCCAATGATATCAAAATTGGCTCAATACGATTTCAATCAAGCATGAATCAAGTCATTGAAGCACATTCAGAGGTTTTGGATCGTAATTTGAATGATTAAATGAACTTTAAATTTGACATATTTATTGTCAATTCGAGCATCATTATGGGATGAATCCAACGAGCCCAAAATTGCTAAATTCTAAGGTAATTAAGTTATTCAAATCAATAAAAAATCTTCTATGATTAAAGGGATCATCAGAGGCCGTATGATCGGGTGGTTAGAGAAGTTATGCGCTTAAATACCAAAATGTCTCTCCTTAAATGGCTCAAAATAGTCACCCTTTTCACTTGAGAGAAAGGGAAGAAGAAGAGAAATTTCATAACCTGTTTTGGAGAGAACCGTCGGCCACCGTCGACCAACACCGACCATCTCTGCCTACTGCTGCCGTTCACAGGTCACTAACAACCCTTGTTTGCAACCATTGTATTCTAAATACCGGTGTTGCTTCTGACACCTCTATTGGGGACCCAACAATAACCACTGACATTCGCAGTCGCTAGCCACAATCAACTACTACTTGTTGGCCACTGTCAACCCCACTTATCATCATTGTTTGCTACCGCCGACTGCTGGTCGCTAACGACCCATACTTGTAACCGTTGTAGTCCAACTACAATCTTTATGATCTACTACTGTCATTTTAACTATCAACTACGATTTTTGCAGCCAATGACCACAACCTTTATGACCTGCTATTGTCAGTCTTTGTGCCCAAATGCTACTGTTACAATTTTTAACTACGACATCTGTGGTTAACGGACACATTCCAATCACCAACTACAACTTTTATGACAAACTATTGTCTTTATAACAACTAATTATGACTTTTGTAACAACCAACTACGACCTTTATGACTAACTACTACTGTTATTGTTTTCAATTACAGGCTTTGTGGCAAACTGTTGCTATTGCAATCACCGACTATAATCTTTATGACCAACTATTGTATTTGTAGCAACCAATTACGATATATTGCCTTTACAACCAAGGACCAGATTTGTTGTAGCTTGACTATGACTATTATAGTTAAACTATTATTGTACATTAATGATTATCAATTTGGTAATTTCATATTTTTTAATTTTGGAGAAGAGTGAACCCGTGTACTTACAATTACATGGTAGATTACTTTAACTAGGCTTGACCATCATAGTTTTTTCTCTTTCTAGAGTTTTTACTCGTAAAATATTGGTGTCTTCTTCTGCCACTTTTCATTTATCAGTGTGTGTGTTGGATCTTTGTTTAACGCTGCTGAGATATGAAATTATCACCTACCGCCACAAATTTTTCGGCACGCGACAACACTGAGACTAATTATTGAATCATATTGGTGTTTTATTGTACAGTGTTAGTTTTTTTGCCTTGTTACCGAAGTGATATTAAGTTGCATGCCCAAATGATAGAGTTGTAATTTATTTGGAGCTAGAGGCGGTGTTATTGCTTATAGAGGTGGTTGCAGCTACTGAATTAGTCAAATTAAGAAATCTTTTTAAAGCTTTGGCTTTGTTGATTAAGGCCTAATTTTGGTTGTTGGAACTTTGCTAATTTTTTATTGGCAAGTTTACCAAAATTATGCCTAATTACGATTAATTAATGTTAATCAATTATCAACTTCACATCAGTCAATATTGCACCTTGTTTGTGCCTACATTAGTTGATCCTTTTAATATAGCTGTAATTTTTTTTTAACCAATTACTAGATCTACTTCTCCTGCCGTGACTTAGCTAAATTTGATGTGTTTGTTCTTTTGCAAATGTGCGATAATAGTTTAGGTCCCGTTTGACTTTACTTTTATTTTCTATTTTTGTTTTCATTTATAATTTTGTTTTTCAAAAACATGTTTTGTTTGTATAATTTCTATATATGTTACATTTTATTTTTAAAAATAAATCACCTTATTTTTTAAAACAATTAAAACATTTAATAGATGTTGAGTATTTTTCAAAGCAACTATCACAACCAAATTTACTTTAACTCAAATGGAAACACAAGTAAAATTTAAAAAAATAAAAAACATAAAGCAAAAGTATTCCCAAACGGGGCCTTAGGTACTTTATTACACAAATTTATTTAATTCTTACAATGTTGGGCCGTCTTTCTTGTTGAAATTTGGTGCCATCCCTCTTGGCCCTATATGCTAAATATTTTATCTTATGTTTTTTTATAGACTTATAGTATTTTGTTCTATTACTAAACTTTTGCACTAACATGCTCCCAGAAAACAGCTTGGCTCGCAACTTTCTACATGTGCATTCCATCTGGAATTGCCCTTGGTTACGTATATGGTGGAGTGGTTAGTTTCTTTGGATAACTCCTGTTTGTAATTGGTACTATGACACATCCCTTAGTTCTGCACCCAGTAAACATATCAATGTTTTTGTTTTTTGGCGCGAAAAGTTTCTAAAGATGTTTCTTTCACCTTGTCTTTTATTTTCTTGGAGGCAATTTACTCTATTTACTTGATGTATCAAACATGATGTAATACTTTTTTTTTCCTGTGATATGTGAAAGATACTAGAGCATATTTGATTTCGAAAAAAAAAAAATTATGGCTTATTTTGATGCCAATGATCACTAAGATTATATTTTCCTGCAAGAAAAAAATAGATAAAAGGTGTTGTTTGGAAAGATGTTTGCTATTGTCTTTTGAAAATTTTGCCATGATATTCTTACTGTCAGGACTTCGCATCTGCCCGTGTCCTCCTGAATTTAAACCATAAGCTAATGAGGAAATTAAGTTGATTCATATCACAATTTCAAGCATTTTTGTATATTTATTTATTAAAAACTAATTAAATAGCCTAAGAAATTCAATATATAAAAATGATAAATAGGGTAATGCATACATTTGATCTTTGACCTTCATTTCACCCTCTTAGGCGTGGATTCAGGCGTCTGATTTTATTTAACTTGATGATTACATTTAGTTTATATTTCCATGTAATTAGTTTTATAAGCCATGAGGATGTAAGGCATTACACGACTGATTAATAAAACCATGTCCTACTATTTATTATCCTTTTCCCTCTCCCTCCCCCCTCCATGGATGAACAAGGCTCGATACCTCTCACTCCCTCTAATGGTTGCCTAAGCGAAGGCTTCTATTATTCTCCCTCTTCTCCTCTCATTTTTTCAGCCCTAGCCATCCGTTAGTCTCTACCTTGATCTCTCTTTCATTTCATCGTCTGGCCGTCTATTTCCGTCTTGGTTAATTCCAAGCTCCGGGCCGGGTCGTCACAAAAGTTCTGGAGTTTCCATGGCTTCATTTTCATTTCCATAGAGGGTTAAAGTCATGAAAGTAGAATATTTTGAGTTTGAATGATCTTTCATCATTGGATAAAGTTTGGTCTGCATCATTGGGATATTAGTTCTCTTAGGTGGAGTGGTCCTTGAACCATTGTAATTACATAAATATCCCTGGTTCTACATCAATTATAAACTCTGTCGTCGCCAAAAGCTTTGGAGTGAGTTAATTTAATTTATCCATGCATATCGATACCTTATTAGGTGTATTCCGATCCCCAGAATATTGACTTGTAGTGTTTCTTATCATAACCCTCTATAAATTAAAATAAGCTTATCAAATCAGGGTTTATGAACTGTTAAGTTTTTTTTTTTTTAATTAGGTTCACTACTAACCGAGCTTAATCAAGTAAGCATTTTTTTAGTTTTATATCGCCCACTGTATATTTAAAAGATTCTTGGCTAATGTCACAGAGCTATGTCTTTCTACTTCTTTTCTGCTTCGAGAAGAACTAGATTATATGTGCACATAGTAGTTATTGATTTATTAATTAACAACATGATTTTTTTTATGAGTTTCTTTTAAATTCAGGTTGGGAATGGTCTCCATTGGCGTTATGCATTCTGGGGGGAGGCACTCTTGATGCTTCCATTTGCTATTTTTGGCTTTCTTATAAAGCCATTGCAGCTGAAAGGTGATAGTGTCTTGATGTACTTGTCTTATGGTTTTTAGGCTGAATTCTTATTAAATAAAAAGTTTTATTTTTTCAGGTTTTTCTTCGTCAAAGCTCAATAGGGAGGAAGTCTTGGGTGAAATCGATGTTGCACATGGTACATTTTTCAAAGATAATATTGATTTTATTGTACAAGTGTGTTGTAGACTAAGTAAATATTATTATTATTATTTCTCTGGTATCATCATATCCTAGCACAAAATAATGCATTTTCCAGTCAAGCACATCATAGTGCAATTATTTTCCATTTCATTGGGCTATAGTATTTATTATGTGGCTCGTACAACTACATATAATCTTTATTTTATGCCGTAATTTCAGATGAATAATGCTATTGAGTTGGATGTCATAATAAAGACTATAGCCCAATGGAATGTAAAATAATCAGATGAAATTGGGTACAAGTTTTGGGATTATTAGAATCATAAATTCATTAGGAGCAACGATGTTACTTTTAATGAAATGAAAATGTATAATGACATGAATAAAACTCTGAATTGTCCTCGAGTTATTTTTGAGGAGACCTCCAAATATATTGAGATAGAAATAAATGCTGATCAAGAAGATGATGAAATGAAGTGTGCTCATTCTGATGAAGCACATCATGTTTCTCAGACACCTGCTACGAAGTAGGGAGATCCAATGGAATCACACAACCAATACAGAGGCATTCTCCTTCTTTGTAGTTTTAATTGCTGATTGTTGTTGTTGAACCAAAGTACTATGAAAAGGTCACTCAAGTTGAAGGCTCAAAGAAGTGGGAGTTTGTCATGACTGATGAGATGTAGTCACTAAAGTCAAATTAGAGATGAGATTTGACTGAATTATCTGATTATGCACAACAAGTGAATTTACGGACTGAAAAAAGAATCAAACAGTAGCAGACACTACAATACGAGATTTGATGTAAGGGAGTGTTTGCAAAAGCAATGAGTGAACTACACTGAGTTATTTTTGTCCGTAGTGAAAATGAAAACTATTAGATTTTTACTGAACTTGATAGCAGTGGAAGATCTACATCCAAAGCAATTTGATGTGAAGAAAACTTTCCCACATGGTGACTTAGAAGTGAAACTGTATATGGTATAGCTCCAAGGATATGAAGTTCCAAGATAAGAAGACAAGGTCTGCAGATTGCGACAAGTCTTATGGTTTGAAGCAGGCTTCAAGATCGTGTTACAAGAGATTTGATAAATTTATGTTAGACAATAAGCACATTGATTGCCAAGTAAATCACTATTTGTTCATTAAATAGTCTAGTAATTGCTATATCATATTTCCTTTGTAAGTAGATGACATGCTGATTAGAAAAACATATATGGAGAAGATCAGAGAATTGAATGAGCTATTATCTAGGGAATTTGAAATGAAAGATTTAGATCCAACCAAGAAAATCTTCGATTTGAAATCTACAGGGATAGGAGTGTAGCTAATCTGAAGTTGTCTTAGAAAAAAAATGTTGAGAACGTCTTACAAAGGCTTAAATTGAGTAAGAAAAAACCAGTTTGCACCTTTTTAGGTAGTCAATTTAAGCTAAAAAATAATCACCTATGTTTGAAACAAGAGCAAACTCAGATCAGAAGAACTCTGTATGCTTCAACACTTGGAAGTTTGATGTATGCAATGATATATACAAGACAAAATATTGCACATGCAATGAGAGTAGTCAACAAATACACGAGTAATTTAGACAAACATCATTGTGAGATAGTGAAGTGGATTCTTATATACTTGAGAGGAACATTCAACAATGCACTTTATTTGGGAAGTGCTAGAATTAATCTACATGGATATGTAGACTTAGATTTAATATGAGATATTGATGATAGACGAAGTACAACATATTTTATCTTCACTTTGGGAAACATAACAAAGAGTTGGGTTTTCAAGTTACAGAAGATAGTTGCACTTTTTACTACAAACGTTGAGTACATTGCTATCATTGAGGCTAGCAAGGGGATAATTTAGCTACATGGCTTCATGAAAAAACTAGGCAAGGTGCAAGGGATTAAAAAACTTCATAGTGATAATATGAGTGCTATTTATCTAGCAAAATACATTGTTTTTCATGTTAGTACAAAACACATTTAGCTAAGGTACTATTTTATTTATTCATTTCTAGAAGATACTCAACTATCTTTGGAGAAGATATATGCTACTCAAAATTCTGTAGACATTTTGACTATGATTGTTGCAATTGAGAAATTGAAGTTATATTTGGTTTCAATTAGAGTTCAGAAAGGTCGAGACTTGGGTTGAAACATACTAGATTACATTTGATATTGATCTAGAAGAGAAGAATTGATTGCAATCTGTCTCCTAGTGAAACATTGTTAGATATGAAGCTTGATTGCTGGTGATCAATGCTTTACTCAATCAGGGAGATAATATATTGTATGAAGGGGCAAATTGGGCAACCCTCTGTCTGGGAGCAGTGCCAATGGGGCACCCTAGCGCCAGAGCAAACATCGTCGTGCCCAACCAAGCTTGTTTCCAATATCTGAAATAGAGCTCCCGAAAACATGATACTCTGCCTGTAACCGAATTTCTGCAATTCAGGATTTAAAGTCTTCATTTTTCAATGCGGAAATACAGATGAGCAGAAGAACAAGCGCTCACTGAAGTTGGATTTTGAAATTTTTCTTGTGCGAAAGAGAGGAGATATTTAGACTTCCAAGATTGTAGAGAGGATTGAGTGTGGTGCAATCTATACTATTTCCTTACTTTTCATAGTGGATTTCTTAGCATGATGTTGTTCTTTGATTTTTTTTCATTCTTAGATTTTTTTTTGGTTAAATCTTGGTTTCTTTGCATTTGCTGTGCTTTAATGTTTGTGTGCTTTTGCTTCGGATCTCTTGAATCAGTTTCCATGATTTCTTTGAGGTTTCATCACAATATTCACTTATTGCTTAAATGTACTAACTAAAATGTGTTGTTGCCTTCAAACTAGGCTTGCTAAATGTTTAGCTTTTGTATAGGAGTTGTAAAGTGCATACTGACTATCTACAAGAGGTCATTTTAGTCCCATAGCCTATAAAATTGTCAGATTAGTACCCCTATTCTTTTATTATGGGCTGAAATAGTACTCAGGGAGGATTACTTTAGCCATCGTTAAAATTTTTTTAGACTAAATGTACGCTTTTATAGACTCTGAGGCCAAAATATTTTTAAAAGTTGTGCCCATATTCAATTATCGTAAAGGATGCAATTTTATATTGTCCTTTCTTTGGAACTTGTATTAATCCCAAGTAAAAATTTAGAGTTGTATGTTATATCAAGAGAAAGTTTATTTTGTTATTTGTTGATATCTTCATGAAACTAACTGAGATTGAATCCCTTGTGTTTTTCTCCAGTTGTGACTCTTTTTTGGCTTCTTTGCAGGCGAACATAATTCAAAACATGCAGCAGCAGAAAGTTCTCATGATACCAGAAGAACCAATACAGAATCAAAGAATTGTTCCTTGTATGTTAATTCAAAATTTTTAGCTGTACTACCTGAAGTCTTTATGCATATTGCATATTTTTATAAGTTTTAATTTTCTTAGCGTGCATGATGTTCAGAATCTGTCGTTGACTTGCATAGACTAAATCACATCAGTCTCACTCCCTTTAAGTGGTGCTAATTGTGAGGTAGATGGGCGCTGTGTTGAATGAGTAATGTGTCAATAGTTTTTTGATTATTTACATGGGGTCATTTTAGTATCAGAGATTATGAAAGTGTAAAATCAATCATAATACTCTTCTAATATGGGCTGAAATTGTCCCAAAAAGAACTATAGAAGAGCCTGTGATTAAATTGAGACTTTTATAAACTTTGAGACTAAAATGGCTCCTAGGAAAGAGTCGGGAGACTATTTTGGCTTTTTTCTCCATTCTAAACTAACCATTATTAGTCCATGGCCTTTGATATCTCCTTAATGGTAAATCATTAGTGTTATGCACGTAAATATCTCATCAAATTTTTTTTATCAAATCTTTTTTGTATGATGTGTTCACATGACAATACATTTTGATCTGCATGCATTGATTAGTTTTCTTAGCATTCCACCTTACATGATGTCTAGCCACGCAAGGGATTATTGTTTCCAAAAACTGTCATCTACTATTTGCTTGTTGGTTAGTGTTCATCAGTTCTATAGTTATTTAGGATGAGTTTGGGGTGGTTGCTGCTTTCAAGAAAGCTGCTGATGAAGCTGCTTTCTAGAGAAGCAGCTTTTCAGGTGCTGTTAGAAAGTTGCTGATGAAGAAGCAGGTGTCTCTTTGATAGATCTGTTGTGTTGTTACTTATAAAATTCTCATTTAAGTCTAAGAGATACTAGTTTTAATATTATTTAATTGGACAAAGAGCAATTGTTCTCTACTAATATGTATATATATATATATATAGTATTGAAATAAGTGCAGTTTTCAGAATATTCAGAATTAAATAACAGAAAAAATTTGTACTGCTAAAAAACTGACATTCTAGTCTAAAATACTCTAATACATAAGAAAATGATTAGCTATTTGAAACAAATGACTATAATAATGAGAATAACAATAGTAATCAGCAAACATAGAATGATGTTTGACTTGAAATTTTGATGTTCAAGTCTTTGAGACAATCTTCTCTCCATCGCTGCATCTCTCCTTTATTGGTCACGGGAGGTACCTACACACCGAAAGCAGTCATGATCTACAGGAGACTTGTTTCTGGGACAAGAATAAAATTTAATCTTTTCTCATTGTTATCTTCTCTCCTGGACTGCTACTGAACACACATGTCACCACAATAACAAAGTGGAACTTTCGAATTGCTTGATGATCCTGAGCTCGTATTTCTTGTTATTATAATACAATTTTGCTCTAATTAAAAAAAAAAGTTGATACAATATTCGAGAATTTTTTTAAAAAATATAAACAGTCTTAAAATTAAGAATTAAAGTTTATCGGTGCAAGAAAATGTACAACACAATTTGCTATATATATTTTGAGAAAATACATTCAGAGAAATTCATGAAGGTGAAATATGAATCATCAACTACAAATAACTAGGTGATGCGACATAAGTAAGGTTATTGCATTCACCAAAAATCAGTAATCTCTTCTCTCAACTATAATATCTTCTTGACACCTTCTCAGAAGTGTTGTACTCGTTCATCATACATTTCTCTTCTTGTACCGAAGGTCCGACTTGATGTTGGTTAGCTTCCTTAAGCTTGTAGGTAGGGTTGTCTTCTAAGACCTTGAAATTTGATATCATCTCAGGGTGGAAGCCTCCGTATAAAGCTACACAGCGCAGTTGTTACAATAACTATTTTGACTTATTTTTTGAAATAATATGTAGACATATCTCAGAGTATGACCTAGTTCTTATTCCATAAATCGAATGCTCGCTCGGTAACACTGCATAATGTCGAGTGTCTTTTGTTGGACAACTCATTCCTCCATCTAATCACTTGATTGTTGCGCTCAAAGTGAGGAAGGTGATATCTCGTGTTGAGAAATGGCTTCAAAAAAACTCGTTGCATTGGATATCCTGAATCGACAAGATAATACTTTTCTAAATCTCAATAACATTACTAGATTAGTTCAAACAGAAATATAATAGTGACGGATTAGTTAAAAACAATATCTTGGGGAGGCATTGAGAATTTGTATTTGGGCCATTAGATTGCAAATTTAAATATTTTGCTGTAGTGTGTACTCCCTTCCTAACCAGCCATCACGAATGTGAAACGCATTCTGAAATCACTTACTGTTAATATGTTCTGTGTAGCAGCTATACACCTGCCAATATAGGTTATCTTTTCCACGCGTTCGTTAATATGTGTTCCATCAATTGCTCCTATGTAGTCCTTATTATAAAAAGAGACAATTTAAGTTATTTTTAACTTTCCTTTGATTAATTGAAGGACGAATAGAGAGTGAGATCAATACCTTGAAGAATGGTATGTACCTTGGATCGCTATGAATTTCCCAAGGTGTTTGAGCATAAGATGGGTCCAATTGTTTTACGATGTTCGTAGCCATTTTAACTTGAGAGTTAACCCCGAGATGGAAATACTTGTTATTTGTCTTTGTAGAGTGCTGGAAATGTTCAAAAGCTGCACGAATGGACTCATTGTACGACATACTTAATAGTGTGATTGCTATGACTTCTCTTGATGTCAGGCAAACCATATTTGGATTACAATACATCGAATAAATCACAAAAAATAGTTTTTGATATAAAAAATATGTTGTAAATTCAGCTTGGATGAGCTTTCATTAGTTTACCATCCAATTTGTCACTTGCAGATTACAATAAGACAATATGTCTTACAAATGTGTCTCTGGTGGTACTCATGAACCAGACAAACTGTGCTGATAACGAATGTAGCTTACTCAACTATCTCTATGATCTTCTCATCATTTAGTGGCTCAATTTGTCTAAAAGAATAATGTTAAGTTTATTTCAAAAGAACATGTTATTCTCAATGCAGTTAAATGCTAGAAATGCGCGTAAAGAGATCAAACGTCAGAAATATACACACAAGCTATATGCCACAACAAAATTTCAAATACTATAAATAGTCACTTTGTCATAGTACCAACAACTAAAAGAAAAACATGTGCATGTCACCTAACTAGTTGGACTGTCTTCAGAAAGTAGGGTGAAGAAAGCTTCTCACTTGTTTTGAACATCTAGAAGTTCTACAACAAATAGTATAGTTTGTCCTCGAAAATTTCAGGAATCGAGTCCAGTAGCTTGACAACATTTGTCATTGTTGAGTATGCATGGAGAGCAGTGTGGGCACTCGAAGTAATGTTGGTGCAGTTTGACTTCAGCTATGATATCTGCTGTGATAGGTTAGCTGTCTCAATTTTACTTGTCTTTTTTCCTTTTTGTGCTGAGGGTGCAGCTCACTTGAGTGATTGGACTCTTGCTCCCTTTCTTCGGGTTGTTCCTCGTAGACCTCGTTCGAATGAGCACGTTCAGGCTCATCCAAATTAGAGTGGGCTCTTCTATTGTGGCCTATAAGTTGACCCCTGTTACTACAACACTATGGAATGGAATATCTAGATTTTCTTACTGTTATGGGTAAAACCTACGATGATAAATTGGTCTTCTAAGATGCAAAATTTTAAAATAAGAAATATTAAATGTAAGATGTTCTACTTACTGAAATATATTTTTGCCACAATTCCTCAGGTGAATCAATTGTTTTTAAGCCGATATGACGTTCCATCCTAAAACAGTGCCCCCTATATTGAGCTCCTTCCACAACTTTCAATCATTTTTAAGCTAATCCCATTTATTTTTCAACTGAATTTTGTCGTAGAGTCTTCTAATTCTTTCTGGAAAGAGTTTGGTTATTTTTTTTCAACCTTTTTTATTTAAATGTGGTTAGTCTATTGGTATTTTCTACCTCTTTTAAGCATAAATTATAAAAAATTATCTTCCTCCTATCCCAAATAGTGGATGTCACACATTCTTTTTGTTTTCTCATATGATATCTGAGTAAAAAAAGAAATGTATCAACATAATTTGGTATGTAAAATAATAATAGATGAATCTAAGCAAACATATGTCAAATAAAAAGTAAAAATAGAGCCCATAATCAGTTCATAGTTGTCAAAGATAGCTCCATCCATGATCACCAATTGTGTAATGTAGGCATAAAGACTAGACAGTATCTGTGTCAAATTAGAATGACAATTTTTTTCCACATATGTAGTAATTGGTTGAGTCATTTGTTATGTTTTTTCATCATCGCTCTAATAAACATTTCACAAGAAGTGTGAAATGTCTCCACCAAATCGCATTCTGAAAGTGTCATCATAAACGGAAACCAGCAACCAACTGGTCTATAAAACATTTAAAGTAATACAATCATATAAATCTTCCAAGCAAACCATGCAATGCTCATCTGTTTGTTTCAGATTTCTTTGTTTTGTTTGGATAGATATGTGAGCACCGGTTTTTCAATTTTTCTAAAAAAATAATGCTTGTCGAATTGCTTGCTCTCATTTCGTCCTTGTTGTGGAGTAATATTTTTGGGGGAGAATGTTGAGCACTGTTTATCTTTTTTGTAGTTTTCTTCTACTGAGACTTTTATAAGAATTGCATATGCTTTGTTGTACATTTGAAGATTGCATGATATATAAGCTACTAGCATCCTTTCATGTCATGATCAATCAGTAGAAACAATGACATGAAATATATATGAGTAATGTTCATTTGTCCATTTCAGAATTATTGATGTGCTTGTTATGCATATCCATGCACTAATGTGAACCCTCAGAATACATGTCAAATAAGATACCATAACCAATTTTATGTTTCTATCGCGATAGCCAATTTAGATCCTCGAGACAACAATTAGAGCTCAGTAAGATCTCTTAACCAAAGAAGACTCCATCCATAATTACGATTTTTTCAAATCGAATATGCACTAGATCGTGTTCTCTGGCAATAGGTAGTATATGGGAAAATAATCTTGCCCATTTAAAATTGACAAGAAGTGATCGGTTGAGCCATTTATTTTCCATCATCACTCTAAATGACATTTGATTTTCATCCCCCATTTAATATCTTTTTCGACATATGTTCTCAGTGAATGCATATGTATGGTAGTTACACATAAAATTATGAAAGAAACAGATAAACAATGCTGAAATGTACTACATTTTATAGTTTCTGTTGCTTGATCATGCAAACTTTAAATATACAACAAAACATATGCAGTTCTATCCTTGAAAGTCTCAACAGAAGAAAACAGTTAAAAAAAAGAAAGCAGTGCTCAACATTTTCCCCTTGGGATATTACTCGACTTAAAGAGGAGGCAAGGCCAAGCAATTCAACTAGCATAATTTTTCAAACAACTTAAAACTAGCGCTCACATATCTATCCAAATAAAATAAAACAACAAAGAGCTTTAAAACAAAGAGATGATCATTGCTCATATATATTTCCTCCCATTGCTACTATTCATTGATCAGAACAGGTCATGATGTTGCTAAGTTATCGATCATGCAAAATTCAAATGTGCAGCAATGCACATTCAATTCTAATTATAAATGTTTTGGCAGAAGAAGACTATAAAAAAAGAAACAGTGTTCAACATTCTTCCCAAAAAAATATTACTCCACGATGAGGATGAAGTCAGAACAAACAGATATTCAAAATCGGTGCTCATATAACTATTCAAATAAAATAAACCCACAAAAAAATTTTAAAACAAACATATGAGCATTGCTCATATATAATTCATCTCATTGCTTTTGCTGATTCATTAGAATAGTTAAGTATGATGATAAATTATGTATCATTCATACTTCAAATGTACGACAAAACATATGCAATTTTATTTATAAAAGTCTTAGTTGTACAAAAAAAAAAAAAAATAGTGCTCAACAGTCTGAGTAATTCGGGACAGCATAATTTGTTTGAAATATTGAATAAAATTACTCATATGATTATCCAAACAAAATTAACAATAAAGATCTTTGAAACAAACAGATGAACATTGCCCATATATATTTCTTCCCATTGTTTCTGTTGATTGATTATGACAGGTAATGATGCGGTTAACTTATTTATCATGCAAACTTTCAAATGTGCAGCAAATTATTTGCAATTATATTTGTAAAAGTCTCTGATATTTAAAAAAAACAGCAGTGCTCAACATTCTGAGCAATTCAAACAACATAATTTGTTAGAAAAAATTAAAAATCAGTGCTCATATAACTATCCGAGCAAAGTAAAACAACAAAGAATTTTGAACAAACAGATGAGCATTACTCATGCTTCACTCCATTGCTTCTACTGATTGATTTGAACAGATAAGGATCCTGCTAATTTATCTATCTTGCAAACTTTTAAATAAACAACAAATCAAATGCAATTCTATTTTTAAAAGTCTTAGAAAAACTTAAAAAAAGAAGCAGTGCTCAACATTTTTTCTCAAGATATTACTCCACACTGAGTAGGAGTCAAGAGTAAGCAATTCGGGCAGAGCATAATTTGTCATAAAAATTGAAAACACGTGCTCACATATCTATCTAAACTAAATAATCCAACAAAGAAATCTGAAACAAACAGATAAGCAGTGCTCACATATATTTCATTACATTGCTTCTATTGATTGATTAAAATATGTAAGGCTTTTACTAACTTATCTATAATGCAAACTTAAATTGTGCATCAAACCATATGCAATTCTACTTTTAAAAGTATCAGATAAAGTAAAGAAAAGAAGTAGTATTCAACATTCTCCCTTCAGTCCACATTGAGGAGTAGACAAGAGCAAACAATTATGCCAACATAATTTGTCAGAAAAACTAAAAATCAGTGCTCATATAACTATCCAAACAAAATAAACCAACCAAAAATTCTGAAATAAACAAGTGAGCATTGCTCATATATATTTCACCCCATTGCTTCTACAAATGAATTAAAACAGGTAAGGATGTTACTAAATAGTCTATCTTGCAAACTTCAACTTTGCATCAAAGCATATGCAATGCGCCTATAACATCAAAATTTTCAGAGAGAAAATAAGAAACGCAGAGGTAGGTGGCGAATAAAGCTAAAAAAAAAAATCATAGAGGAGAATACTTCACCAGAAGGTTGCAGCAAGTCGTCGGCGTCGAACGAGGGAAGGGAGCAGAACTAGGTTTCATCCTTAGAGATATGGGTGAGAAAGGAGGAGTGGCGAGGGTATATGCCAGGATATGAAGTGGGATTACTAGAAATCCGAAGGGGCAGCGACTTCAAAGGAACTTCACAACGGAGCTCCAACCGCGGACCGCACCCTCCCTCTTCTGTTTCTGCGTTCAACTCGATGCGACCTCCGACTGGCGTAACGCTGGCGATAAAAGGGGAATCAATAGCCGCTTCTGCTTCTCCAAGGCGTAAAAGCCGCAGCATCTGGGTCCCAAACAGACCCTTAAAATCATGGGTGATGATTCATTTTTAACGCTTTTCTCATTTAAAAATTTGAGCTTTCCTTCCTGCAGTGATTTCTGCAGATCCGCTTTTTCTTTTGAAACGTTGTAAATTTTTTTTAGAAGGCTTAGTTCAATTATAAAATATTTTGCCTGTAAAAATACCCAAAAAGCTGAAGGTGTAATTGTGTTGAATAATGCATCAGTTTTTGGAAATATGGAATTATATTTTTGCAATGATTTGTTTTCTCTGCAAGCCATTGTGCGTGTCTAGCGATGCAAGAGGCTATTATTGACAAAAACTATTATCTATTAATTTTCATTTGCCTCTTCTTTATCATTTATATAATATTTAAAATCACGGTTAATGTTTTCTTTTAAAACATTCCTTATTAGAAATTTTGAGTGCTCCTCAGCCTGCAGGACTTTTCGCAGTCTCTGAAACAAACCTTTAGGGATCTAATTTGACAACAGCTTTTTGGTTTAAGAGGATGAACCATATTAATTGACCTTTTAATGCTGTTGAATAGTTTTTGAAGAGACTCATCGAGTAGAAACCACGTGAACAGAGAGATAAAGGGACCCCAACTATTTGGGTTCACCAAAGGGCCCGGTCCTAGCAATTTCTAGAACCAATATTAATTCACTAGTTTTTCTCAGTACAAGAACAATGAAAATTGATTTAAAAAAAAACATCACAAAAAAGAGAAGCTTTTAAGCAAAGCGTGTTTTAAAGCTATAGTCCTTTCCGTATAATATCTACCACTTAACTCAATTGACCTTTTGAAATATTTATTTTTGTGGAATTAACATATGCAGCACACTATTCCTATGTATTTACATCTTGCACTTATAGTTTCATATTCACATACATAGCACTTTGGTGTTTTAAACCAATGCATTAAAAGATGTATTTCACCTTAAGAAGGTGGAAATAGTGATATTTTTTATGTGATTTTAAAGATTTGAGTGATATTTGTGAGATATGCAAATACATCAGAATTGTTTGATATGTATGTAAATGCTCCTATGTTTTTTTGGTCATCTTTCTCTAGTTTAGTTATTTGAGGGCTTTGGCTCCAGCACAATGTGTAGAGTTCGATGGTCAACATAATTGCATGTGTTTTTTTCTTCGGCATTCAACTTTACTATAAATATGTGTGTGCATGCTTATGTGTGCAAACATATGTTTTTCAATATTTTGTCAAAAGTGCATGTGACATTTCATGATAACTGTGTCCCATATACCAGCAATTTTCTCTTTTAAAATTTCTTGCAGTTCTGGGATTGTTCAAAAATTTTCGACTCAAGTTACTAGATTTGGGAGAGATATGAAGTTGCTCTTAGAGTTTATGTCATAAATGTTCTCGGTATTTTTCTTTCCTGAATTATCTTTTATACATTTTCTGACAATTTCCTCCATCTTTGTTAACTCAGTGCTAGATTGACTTAACTGCTATGTAGTTTTGTGTACTTGCCAAGATTCTAACAGCGAATGATGGTATCTAATGTGCTGCAAAGAATTTCATCTATCCTTAGACTGTTTCACAATGCTGTATGAGTTGTTATGCCATTTACAATTTGAAGCACCGACTTCCCTTTTTTCAATAAATATTACTGATTAACTAGTAGTTATTGTTTATGATGGTTATTAAGGCCCATATCCTTTCTTCTTTTAAATTTTCCATTATTTTGGTCATAATATGACAATTATTTGTATTGTTATTTTTAAACTGGTAAAACTAAGAAAATATGTCACAAAAAATGCTTTGGCTTTAGCATCAAATTCCCTTGTAAACATTGTTGATCATCAGCATTCGTTTAGATATGCTTTAGAATAGGATGTTTATTTTTGTAAATATTATTAAGGCCATATCCACTTCATTTAATGTTTTAATTTTGTCTTACATTGCTGCCCGTGAGACGTTATCTTTAGTTGCTGAGAGAGTTAAAACTGAAAAGAGATAAAGAGATGGCTTCTGAACAAATATAAAGCGGTTACAAAATTTCTGCAGACTGCTTCAGCATCAAATTTCATATCCCAAGCTCTACAACTCATCAATATATCTTTAAAAGAATGATCCTTACAGTATTGTATTTCTCATTACCTGCTATACCTGGATTATGATGAAGTTACTGAGAGAAGGTCTATGTTTTTTCAGGCTATATAACTTACAACTTTGTTATAGGAGCTTATTCCTATTGGGGACCCAAGGCTGGTCAGGACATTTATCATATGGTGAGTTACTATATTGTGCAGTGACCTGATTTAAATGCTTCTCAACATGTCTCAGATATTTTATGGTTAGGTCATTTACATACATACCACCCAATTTTTATGTATTTTCATCTCTAACTCCTAAACTTTATTTAAACATGTTAAATTAAAAAAAAAAATCCTCCAACGGTTTCTAGAACATTTTGATGAATATAACTGAGAGAAATTGTATATAACCTATTGTGATACTCTGGTCAATATTTCGTTTCACCTGAATTCCTATTATTTGGCAGAGAGTGTGCACTTTTGCAAAATAAAAATATTCTCTTGCATATAATGCAAAAATCTGAAGTAGCTATCTTCAAGTTGCTTCAATAACTTGCAAGTCTTCATATGATTGTACATACCCGTTTGTAATTACCCTACCTGAATACAGGCGTTTCTAGAGTTTAGGAACAATTTCTATCAGTTTACTGAAGGCAGGAAATGTTTTTTTACGCAACGTTAACTAGTGGTTATTTTTCTTATGTAAACCTTTGCCATCTATGTTGCAGTGGGTAACCTAAGGGCTTATTTGGGATCAATTTTGGTTTTTATTTTTGTTTTTTTTTTTGTGTTTAAAAAAATTTATTTGATGTTTTTTATGTATTTTTATTATTTTTGTTTAAAGTGTTTTTAAGAACAATTATATCTCAAATAAATATGTCAAACATGTTTTCTTTCAAAGCCAAACCTAAACAAAATAAAATAAAATAAAAAATAGAAAATAGAATATAAAATGATCCCAAATGGCTCCTAAGTGTTGGGCCAATGCGCTCCACCTATACCTCGTCGACTGCTCAGTTATAGCTTAGTAGGAATGAGCCTCAGCTTTTGCAATTGGAAAATGTATAGAATAAGGAAGTTGGCAAAATATGTGTATGTGCCGCTTTCTGTCACTCTTTGGTTCTCAGAGTTTGTAAGCCTGAGGACATTCCTTTATATATATATATATATATATA